TACAAATACATAACTCAGTGCTTATAAAAGCTTTCTGCATCATGACGATCATACAAAACTGCTCCTTAGTGATGTAAAAAATGCTTTGAAGCATGAATTGTTAGAACGACCTCAATATTCCCAAACGTTTTATATTCCCAAATCCTACAAAATATGTAACTATACAACGTTTTTTAAGACTACTAGAACTCATCTTGGTTTTAGTATACTGAATATAATTTAGCAAAGTATAAAAATCTAAATTTATTTTTTCTTTCATTTATTCCAAAGTTTTTACGCCATTGCTTATACAAAACCGTATCATTTCAAGCGGGTATTTTATTTTCGTAATAACCATTAAGAATAGCGAAACTTGCTAGTCAGTACGTCAAGTGAATAGTTATATATAAACCGTGCAATAAGAACAGTTGCCTCTTGGGATGCCTCGAGGACTTTCCGGAAAGTTGTTTGATTATATTTGCACTTACCTACGAACAACTTCCACTGCACAGAAACTTTCGAGGCGCCGTAGAACTGAAGGGACGTATTTTTTTGTCAGGCGTTTTTAATAAACCGTAACATTTCTGAAAATATTGGGTGTATTTTTATGGAAAACGTGATAGATCCACTACTACACTTGATTTGGTGTTGGGAGAGTAATATAATAACTAATATAATATATACAAAACGCTTAAAAGGTGGACAAAACACTGTAAGTTTAGAATAGAAAAAGAATAATCATTCTAATTGTAATCCGATCTAAGCTTTCTTTATTTGCCTATTACTCTGCAAAAAGTTCCGAATACAACACATGGGTTTCTACATTTATTATTACTGGGGAATCTCCGGATCAGAATATGGGTTAACGATGTTTGTATGTATATAAAAGAATCTTCATAAAATAGTTCTACTATTTTCATTTATGTTCTATATATCGATATATCTACTAACGTGAAAATTTTTTATAATAATTAAATCTGATGAAGCGCCGTCTTAGTTAAACGTTTTTTGAATTCCCAACTTTTCTGCTATTTCTTAATACCACGTTTTAAACACTTCTGTAACTTTTTTGGTTTTATTCTTGAAGATTCTCATTTTCTTTCGCTTAAATTTTGTGGGAAAGTGTGGGAACAATCCCTGATTGGTGGTGTGTATAGGAGCAACTGAAAAGGGAATGTGTGGCCCTTCTTCGGTACTTGACAAGGGCGAGAAAAGGTCGGAGGGCGCAGAAGAGGTTGAACGTTTGAGTACATCTTACCTTGCGAGAAAGAAAGTTGAATAGGAGAATCCGAGTCGAGAAGAAGAGGGATTTGAGAGGACTGACAAGTTGAATGAGGATATTTGGGGTTAAGTATGTAAAAGGCAATGAAGCATTTCGACGCCTGGGCTCCGTATGATATGCCATTGGACCGAAAGGACTGTCAACGAACTGCACTGGCTGCGGCGGTAGGCACCCTAAAGTCTCGCCGGGTTCCCATAAGTCTCGCCGGGTTCCCGAAGTCTCCCCGGGTTCCCTCAAGTCTCCCCGGGTTCCCTCAAGTCTCCACAGGCTCTCTCAAGTCTCTCCGGACTCCCTCACGCCTCGATGGACTCCCTTAAGTCTCGCTGGACTCTTCTTGCCGCGCAGTCGTTTCTTGATCCTTGGAAAATCTAGGGCCCGTGCCCTAACTTCAAGACGGAAAAATATCGTCTTTCTTCCTTGTCTTATTGTAAGGATCCAGGAAGTGATTGGTCTGGAGGCTTGTCTCGGAAAAATGCTTTAAATACATTTCAGTGGGGATCCGTAATGAGCTCTTTGGAATCAAGAACTGTCCGGGGCATCTGAGGAACGCAATCGTTGATTATCTTTATGAGAGGAAGATTGCGGTGGAGAATAATGTGACCGCGAATATGAAGAAAGTGTTTGTTACCCCCTTCGTGTCCTCGTTAAGGATTGGATGAACGAGCATAATCTTGCTCTAGCGGGGAATAAGTGGAGGCTCCAGTACTCAAGAGGCTACATAGAGGTGTGATACTTGAGTACTCGAGAGCGAGAGTAACGCCCACGCTCAAGTACTTTAAGTATCTTAAAGTTATACAACCGAATGGGAGTTGACGAGAACATTTGTGGGGGTGACCCGCAGAGCCATTAGAGCCATTCAGAGAATGGCTATGATGAGTAGAATAATGAATAATATTGATGGATCCAAATCCGAAAGGAGAGCGTCTAACGTTTTATGCAGTCTGTCATCCTCTTAATGGCCTCATTCTGGAGGGGGCGGTAGAAATACCAGCTTACAAGAGACTCATGATATGCTTAGACAGAACAAAAAAAAACTGGATTATTATCAAGCCAGATGGTCCGGGTTTGGTCCCGGCACAGAGATCAAACGTTTCAAATTTCTAAATTAATGGAAGAATAAGCCAAAATGTATGGAATGGTTGCTTTAAGATAACATTTCCTTCACGTATAACTGGCTAAAAGTTAATACGGGACAGATACGACAATGCCAAAAATGTCATACTATTTTTGCATTTTTTTGTTTGTATTTTTTAGTTTTTGCAGAAAACTGTAATTCCCAATATTTGTTTAATTTTAATATTTCTAATTTTAATCAAACACATCACTGGTCTAATTTTGATGATTTGCAATTTCCAAGTTTAAACTAATGAAAACCTTAATACAGTAAAAAACAGTCAAAAAAACTTTAAAATAGTCAAAATAAAAAACATCGACAAACAAATTGTGTCATGACAGATAATATGCCATAGTTATGAAAGATCGTCGCCGGCTTGTTGACCCCGAACCGGGTATGACGTGGAACGAAATTTTCCAATGATGACGACAATCTGTCTCTTTTCGCGAACGAGAGAACTTGATCGATCGACACCACAGGCCAAGCGGCAAAAAGGATTTCGTGCCCGTCGCCGCGAGCGGAACGGGAAAATGTGTTTTCATTTCAAATGTCTATTGTTTCTCTTCGTTTTCACCTAATTTGTAGATCTGGCTGGGGATAATGTTTCAAAATTTATACATTTGAATAAACGAATTAGGAAGAATAATCGTAATTTAAAAGGTTTTTTGTTATCACAATTTTTGTAGAAAGGTACTTTTTTATTACTTATTTTGAAGCTTATATGCTTAAAGCGTCACTACTATTTACATTAAATGAATCCAACGACGAAACTAAAAAGTTTAGTGACATTGCAAGATGTACAATCATCTACAGTGTAGATTCTACACGGATTTTAAAATAAGTCTACCCCGTGTAACCTTTACTCGATACCTTCTGTATAGGTTCTGTAAGGTTAAACAGGACATAAACCAACAGACTGGCTACTGTCAACATTTTTAATGATACCGATAAAAAAATAAATGCCAAACAGTGTAGCGATCATCGTACTATCAGTCTGTTGAGTCATGTACTGAAAATTTTCCTAAGAATACTGCACTCGAAAATTTACAACAAAATAGAAGTACAACTAAGTGAAAAACAATTTGGTTTCAGAAACAACCTTGGAACCAAAGAAGCACTCTTCAGTTTGCAGGTCATGATTCAAAGATGTAGGGATAAAGAACAATAAGTATATATTTGTTTTCTCGACTTCAAAAAGGCCTTTGACCGAGTAAACCATGACAAACTTATAGGTGTCTTGCAACAAAAATGTGTATTGGGGGCAAGGGTGTATTCTATCACCTCTACTTTTTAATATCTACTCCGAATTTATTTTCAAAGAAGCCTTAGTTGAAGATACAGGCATTAAAATCAACGAAATTAATGTCAACAATCTCAGATATGCAGACGACACGGTACTTATTGCCTCCAATGAAGAAGACCTGCAACGACTTGCAACAGGGTAACTGAAGCATGTGATGAATATGAGCTAAAACTTAATACTTCTAAGACAAAACTTATAGTTGTCAGCAAAACGGAGTTACAACCATCGAACATCAGAGCGTATGGAATAGTTAGAAAGAGTCCACAATATTACCAATTTTGGTGCAAACGTTAACGATAACTGGGATATAAATAACGAAATAAGAATACGCATTGAAAAAGCCAGAGCCGCCTTCTATAAATTAAAAAAAATTCTAATTAATAGACATATTACGTTAAACCTTAAAATCAGATTAATACGCTGCTGCATATTCTCCACATTGCTGTATGGTATGGAGAGCTGGAGCCTTACAGAGACATTAATGAAAAAATTAGAGGCCTTTGAGATGTGGATTTATCGACGAGTATTGCGGATAAGTTAGGTTGATCAATTAAGAAATGAAATAGTTTTACATCGAATGAAAGAGAGCACAGAATTAACAAAAACGATAAAAGTTCGAAAGTTACAATATTTCGGTCATGTAATGAGACATCGAGAGAGGTATAACCTTCTACACCTCATAATACAGGGTAAGATCGCCGGAAGGAGAGACTGGCCGACGAAGAATATCCTGGCTCCTAAATCTCCGAGAATGGGCAGTTTGAGCACTTCAAGTGTTTTTGTAAATTTTTGTCCTATTTATATTTTTTTACCAAATTTTATATATGTAGATATATTTACTCGCACTATCCGGCAACGTTCACTACTACCCTTGAAGATATCTAAATTTCGAAAATTCGACGAAACGACTGATGTTTCAACGAAACATGGTTAATTATATTGTGTGGAAATTAAACAGTGTATTGTTACGTTATATATCTTGGAATTTCCGTTAAGTTACCGTTGATACTCTAAAATGGTTCTCTAAAAAGTGTAGTGTAATGTAGTGTTTTTATTTTGATCGCCATTCTTCCTTTACTACGCAAGCTCTTGTAAAACGTGATAATAGTAAACATCTAGTAAAAATCTAAATTAATTCATCATCTTCATTCAACAACGGCCGCTGCCTTTACTAACAATCCTATAATGAAAATGCTCCCAAACATCAACATCCAAATATTTCAGTAATATCCGCTTTCTTTTGTCCATCAAACAAATATCCAATCTCGTACACAGCGTTCGGGATTTATTAAAAATGAAAAAAAAATGGGAAAAAGACTTACCTCTCGGATTTCTTTGATTTGTGATCCGCCTTTGCCAATAACGCATCCCGCCTGGCTCTGATGAATCATCATTCGTAAATCGAGTTCATTTCCGTTGGCAGTTGCGCAATGCTGGAAAATAAGATCCGTGATTAAGTATTCCTTTATAGGTAAGATTCGTTATTATAATTAATATAAAAGTTATCGATTTCGATAATTGATATAGAAGACATTCAGTCAAAATTTAATTTTATATAAAATATAAGGGTGGGTGAACTTATTCATAAAATTGAATACTATTTATCATATAGAATTTTCAGACACTGATAGACACGTGGTATTTACCTTATATATTATTATATGCACGAAAAGTAGTTATGATTCAATGTAATTTACAAATGGCCATAGAAAGGGGAAATACTAATTATTCAAAGAGTTAGATAGTAGCTAAATGATACAACTAATCGATATTTTCCTTAAGAACAATCATTGAAGATAAAGATCTGAGAATTATAGCAAATTTATATGCCCAACAAATTAACATAGATAATAAGTATTGTCAAAAATCAATAATCTACGAATAAACTTATGAGTTACACAACGAGCCAACGTGCAATGCTAAACGTAAGCCTTCGAGACCACATAACAAACCAACTAATCAGGAAAAGATCAGGAGTTCAAGACGTCATCGAAAGAACCACGTCGCTTAAGTGGAACTGGGCAGGGCCACTTAGCCAGAACACAAGATGGACGGTGGACAAGACATATTATATATAGAATGGAGGCCCAGACGTATTATAGAAATCTATAAAAGAAGCAGAGGACGACCAACGACTAGATTGACCGATGATATAAAACGTGTAGCTGGAAACTGTCTTACAAGTGGCTGGAAAGAACTGAGTGAGGCCTATGTCCCGCAGTGGACGCGATTGGCTGATTGATGATGATGAAAAACCAATATCCAGAGAGTCCGGCAGGAGTGTATTTTTTATATTATTAAGTTAAAATGTATTTTTTTTTAAATGTATTATAATGTATGAAAAGTATTTTATTATGAAATGACAAAAAACAATTTCCCAAATCGCTTTGAGTAAAATTTTTTTACACGGATCTCATCGAAATTAATATTTTTATTATCTTGACAATTTTTCTAAAAATCCCTCCTTTTTGAGTTATTTGCAATTTTTATATTCAATTGATTACAACTTACATTGATTAGTGATTTTTGGGATTTTCTTCTAAAAAACTACTAAATGAATTGCAATTCTATAAAAAGCTGTATAATCTTTAAACCTGTAAGTACAAGTAAGGATATTTGGGTAAGGATCAACGGATTCTATATTGCTGAGAACATGGAACCACATATTATATTTCGAATATGAATTTCTAGCAATTTACCAAGAGAGAAAAAGTATTTATTTCGATGAGATACAGTTAAAAAAAATTACTCTAAGCGATTCAGGAAATTGTTTTTTGTTAAGGTTAATAATTTCCGGCCCACTTGGAAAAATTAAAAAAACATTTGAACTTGAAAAAATATATAGAATCGAATGAAAATGATTTTACTCGGTAGAAACGTAAAAAATTACTAGGCATATTTCGTTTCTAAGCGTCTTTTTAGGGGTAAGTCGAGCGCTTTCTTATTACACAAGCGATGGTAGAAACACAGAGGAAAGCTAATTAACCGTAGAAAAAAACAAAGTTATAAAGTTACTTTACAAACTAATCTGTAGTTACTCTTTGTTAAGAGCATTCTTGAACAGCGTAGTCTTGAATAAAAAACATTCACAGGATCGTGTAAATGAAATACGATTATACCATCACCATTCCTTGAACAATGAACGTTACTTCACCAATAAAGTGCTCAGTAAGGAATATGAAATGCAGATGTGTCCCTCCCCCAGCTTCATAAAATTACATACATGGGTTGTGTAACACACGAATGGAGAATCCTTCAGAAAAACGATACCAAGAATATCATTAGAAACAGGTTTTGTCTAGTCTAACGAATATTACCAAATAAGACCTGCCCTCTGTAATTATAGAAAGCTTAAATGGCAGTTGGGACATACCACCAAAAAGAAATTCTTTATTTTAAGAAATTTATTAGCTTTTATCAAGCACAGCACTTCTTGGTACAGTTTAATAGATAGACAGGTCTAAGTATAAGGATCTCGGGACCAGGAGACAATTAGTATCCTACCTAATTCGAGTAAGAACAAATCAAGGGATACATTTCCCGATAAGTCTAGCTAAGGATGTGACAGTTTTCCAGTGGGAAATAACTGCAATCACTGCATGGAAGAAATAGAAAGACAGGAAAGAACGTTCTGTTCAGTTGCCATCTTCCTAGATAATCAGGCAGCGCTAAAGACACTTAATTCTGTAGAAGTCAATTCTAAGCTAATATGTGATTGCGTGTGTGCCCTAAATAAACTAGGAGACCGTAGCAAGGTTACGGTAGCCTGGGTAGCGGGGCACGAGGGTCATAAGGAAAATGGAACAGTAGATGCAATGGCCAAACAAGGCTCATCAATGCCATTCATTGGACCAGAACTCTTCTGCTGCGTTGCAAAGTCAGTAACAAGAACGGCTACAAGGAAGTGGGTATCTCATAAATTTCTGGAATGGTGGAGGAATTCACCAGGACAAATACAGGCGAAACAGTTCATTACAGAACATTTGCCAACATTTACGACAGACCTAATAAGCAAAGACAGGAAAACAGTCAAAGCAATAGTAGGTCTCCTAAAAGGGCACTGTAAGCTGAATAGGCACTGTAGATGCAATGGCCAAACAAGGCTCATCAATGCCATTCATTGGACCAGAACTCTTCTGCTGCGTTGCAAAGTCAGTAACAAGAACGGCTACAAGGAAGTGGGTATCTCATAAATTTCTGGAATGGTGGAGGAATTCACCAGGACAAAGACAGGCGAAACAGTTCATTACAGAACATTTGCCAACATTTACGACTGACCTAATAAGCAAAGACATTAAAACAGTCAAAGCCATAGTAGGTCTCCTAAAAGGGCACTGTAAGCTGAATAGGCACTGTAAGCTGAATAGGCACTTGAAGCTGATGGGATTATCAGCTGATGACCTGTGCAAATTCTGTCACTTCGAAGAAGAAACAGCAGAGCACATTTTATGTCAGTGTGACAGTCTGACAAATGTGCGGTTCTTTGCATTAGGAGAACCAAATCCACCGGCACATAGCTACGTGGAAGGTACAGTCCCGAAGCTACTAGACTTTATAAAAAGGGTCAGGCTAGAGAATATTATCTTGGACAAGGTACCACAATAGATCTAAAAAGGTCGCAGTGAAATAGGCCGAAAGGCCACCTCTCTTAATCTAATCTAATTCAAGAAAAAAAGGCGCGTGTCGTTAATTTATTTTTCCAATAAATAATGTCTGATGACGTCAAAAATAAGAATATATTAAATATATCCTGTCACTCAAAACTATAAATTAAGTTTTAAAATATAAGAGTTATTTTAAATCGTCATCCAAACCTGATATTTTTATTTGCAAAAGTCATACAAGAAAGAATGAAGCAACATTATAATAGAAGGCAGAAGTCACTAAATTAACTATAGCTCTTTTTAATAAGAATAAACCACAAATTTTAATAAAAAAATGTTATATTTAAAGTTTCTATTTTCACCTGGGAAAATTCGCAAAAATCCAATGTGGAAATCAAAACGTCAAATATAACGTAATCGTGATATTTCAATTTTCTTGTTTTAATTGTATTTAAAATTTCTATTTCTTTATTCATCCTTCTCAGAACCTCTCTGTTTGTGGCGTGTTCTGTCCACGATATTTTCAGAATTCTTCTATACACACACAGCTCGAATGATTGCGGTTTTTTCATTAATGTCGCATTCAAGGTCCAAGATTCCATTCCATAAAATAAAGTCGAAAAAACATAGCATCTCGCCAACCTAACTCTTAGTTCCAATTTTAAATCCCTTGTACATAGCACTCTTCTCATTTTGTTGAAATTTGCTCTAGCCTTTTGTATTCCGATTTGAAATGTAACTAAAATGAAAAGCCCAAAGCGAGCAATGTCTTTGCTAGTGTTGAAAATGCCATGAAAATGGTGATTATTATCCCGATCTGAAATCCGTAACATCAAATAAAGAATTTATTATATATGTATTTGTTTATTCTCAGCTAGATATCGAATAACCTCACGCTTATAAAGTCCTTCACAACATTTCTTTTGGTATTTAATTTGATAGATCTATTTTATAATTAATGTAAAAATAATATACTCCAATCTCTTTCCAACGCGACTAAAATATCTGTAACAGGTAGGTGGGTGATAAATTTTAAAGGCAGTTTGAGCACATCCAAGTTGACAGTGTCGTTAAGCCGGAAATTAAGATTTGTCTCCAGAGATTCCACCTCTTTCCCAGGCTTAAAATCAAATTGCTGTTTTCTGTTTCACGTTCGATCCAAAATATAGTAAGGGAGATTGGCAGTTAAAATATTTTTTATTAACGCTACAGGGATATAAGTGTTTATAATTCCGAATATTTTATTAGAAAACGTCTCTATTTTTGTTAAATAAACCGAAATTGTAGAAATTGGTTTTCTTGAATACGTTCAAACCAAATGGCTTACATAATAAGAAGGGAAAATGATTTTTTTTCGCGGTGTGCAAGATACGTTGATGTATCTTGCACACTGGCGTTTGGTTGGAACACTATACTTGGTACATTTACTAAGCCAGTTATTAAACCTGGTCTATTAATCAAACCAGAAAATGTTTCTTTCACTTTCTCGGCGGCAGAACGGTCCTCTGTGTAGCATAAACTTTTTTATAACATATACAATGCAGATAACGTCAAATGACGCCGTCCGTATAGACTGAGGAAAGATACGACGCCATACAACAGTTTCCGCAGCGAAAGTGTTGGAATCCCTCTCTTTATTTTTCCATGCATAGTTATTTGAAACAACCGAGTCCCATAAAATTATTGATAATGGTTCGTAATAGTGTAATAAATCTTACGAATTAGCCACCATCTTCTTCTTTTAGTGCTGTCTCTATCTTCTGCTTTTCTTAAAAGCCTCTGTGTGTTTAACCCGGACTAGTCGCGAATGTTTTTCAGCCAGGCTATTT